ATTTTTTTTATTAAAAAAATTTTTTATTGTATAATAAAAAGTGTTCACAATAATATGAGCACCCTCTGTACAATATGTCATTTTATTTCTAAATACTTAAAAACTAAAAATATAGATAAATTACTATGATTTGATAGAACTTTGATTTTTACTTTTCGTGAAAAAAATTTATTTGTGAACAAAGCTATAAAGAATAGATATACTGTATATTACTATATGAAATTATCAATAATCTAAACCTTAATTGTAGTATGTTAACCATAGCAAATGTATTATATAATTTTGAAATATATTCATATATTGTAGCAAAGAAGTCATTTATATCAAAAAAGCATGCTCATGCCTGTATTGCATAAGGAAAATAAAAAAAAATTTTTTTTTGATTAGTCAAATATTATTTTTTCTAATGAAAAAGTGTTAAGATTAAAAAGCAATCAAGGCAAATATGGATTTGGTGATATATTGGTGAAAGATTTGATACTGACTGCTTGACATCTACTTTTAAAAATGGTCAACAATCTGTAATAATCTGGAAATATTTCATGAGAAAAGCAAAAGATTCTTTAATATTCTATGATAAATATAAAGAAAATAGTCCTAAAATAAATGCAAAAACTTGTATCAAGATTCTTTAAACCAATCTACTGCCATTTGCATATACAGTTCATAAGTTAACAGTATATCCTATGATTTTTCAACAGGATAATATATCAATTTATACTGTAAAAATCATTCAAAATGATTAAAAAAAATAAAATTAATATTCTTGATTGGTCAGCAAGTTCATCAAATTTAAATTTAATTGAAAATATTTGAAAACTATTGAAAAATAGTGTCCAAAAATGTGCAACTTTTTCAAGAAATACAATCAAACTTAAAATTGCTCTTAAAGAAGAATGGAAGAAATTTAATGTTTCTACTTTATATGAGATTATAGGTTCAATGCCACGAAGGATTGATATGGTATTGCAGGCAAATGGTGGGCCTATAAAATACTAACTAAAAAAAAAAATATGTAAATAATATTAAATGTGATTTGATATTTTTTTTTTTCGTGATTTGAAAATCGGGCGTTATTTTTTGTGACGACTGTACATATAAATAGATGCTATAAGCCCTGTGATCTAAATTAAACTCTATAATCATACGATCACTGTAGTGGCTGCACGGTGACATGTAACCCATTGTATATTACTGACCATTGTTGATTAAAGCTCTGATCACATATTGTATATTATGATATTGAAAATCATCGCCAAATTTAACATTTATTACAATATACGGCTGAGATTATAACTAAATAAGTAGCTCGGAATAGAATATTGCGACAAATGAATAAGACTCAAGGGTCATATATCGAGCAGATTCCAATTTCAATGAGTTTTCTCCTTGTACATTAACCTTTTTAAAAAAATTTTTCAACAAACACATTTTTAACGAGATTATTATTTTGAAAAAACGCGTAATTTTATTGTAAATTAACATGTTTAAATATTAGTTTACTAAATAAATTACATGTAGCTTATATTAAGATCTTATCTCTTATTTGCTTTTTTTTTCTTATTTTTCTTGTTTTTTTCTTATTTTTCTTATATTCTTAAATTTTTAAGGGTATTTTTTCATAAATTACGAGGTAATGGTATTAAATGACACCAGTTTGCATCAAAATATAGTTGTTCTGGTTGTGACATAAAATATGTATACCAATCTAATTCCTCTTGACAAAAATAATTTAGGTACACATCTTGATAAGCATTAAAATATATCTCTTCTTGAGAAAAGAATCCTTCATATTGAGAAAAGAATCCTTCATATTGAGAAAAGAATCCTTCATATTGAGAATAAGTATAACATGGGCACCCATATTGAGAAGGGTCGCAATTGAAAGTATTTTCTTCTATTGGTGACTCGCCTTGAATATATATTAAGTCAGGGTTGACTTCAATCTCCTGAAAAATAGGAATCGAGGTGGCGGAAGTTTGAGGCAAAGGTTGGAATTGAACATTCGCTTTTTTGTTTGATTCCAAGAACAACTTATCCAAATCTCCAGCGATATTAAGATAGGCCTCTTTAATATGTTTTGGTTCGTGTTTCCATGAATTCGACGCCATGCGAGATACCATGTATTGTGGTATGCCGTGATGCGTCTTCTTTAGCTCCTTGTAATATTCTCCACGGTAAACCAAGAAGCTATTGCTTACTTTAGACCGACTTTTCCCATTATTTGAACGTTTTCGTGATTTAAATAATTCTTCGGCCGTGACTGTCGGCGGGTATGGTACTTTAACCATGATAGAATTGTAAAGTTCTTTTCGATTGTCCATGGATTTTGATGGATAGAGAAAACGAATTTATTGAAATTGAATGACAGAAGCTGTGTATTTATTTTTTTTTTTGGTCGGGTCTTCATGCCTCAAACACTTTTATAAATTTAAGTATGCTTTCCGAGGTATAGAACTTTCTTTTTCCAACCTGTACTGTTTTGAACACTTTGAACGCGATGAATTTATCCTTTTAGAATCAATAAGTTTATTCGTCCTGGAGACCAATTTCCACCTATGTAATTATAATAAATCGGAAAAGGTTTAGGATTTTCTATTAAATTACGCAGTCTAGATGCACGATGGATACACTTTTTGCTGTTTCTATTTATAGCTATTCTGGGGAAATCGAATTTCACATGTGAATTTTATCTAATCTGAGAACAGACTTGGTAACTTAGATTAGTAATTGAATTAATTTGATCGTATTTGTGTGGATTGACTTTTTTTTTATACACAGAATATTACTGTATTCGTTTTAAAGTTATAACATTTCAGGGGAACGATGTAACATCGTGATATATAAATTAAAGCCTTCATTATTCTTTTTCTTTCATTTCTTTCATTTTTCTTTCATTTCCTTTTATCTCTTTCCTTTTACATTTTCTTCTTCCCTTTTTTCTTTCTTTTTCTTGACACGAATTCCGCTGCGAATAAATGTTAGGCGTATTGGTTCGGGAAATGCGTCACTTAATGCAGTACGACGTCAAATTATCATGGATTGATCCACATCTCTGCGTATAAATTGATCTACATATCTACGGATAAATTGCTGTCAGTTACTAATTTAGATAATAAATACTCTCAAAAAAGGCAATCATTATTATAAATTTAGATGTAGTTAATTTATTTTTAAATAGATATGGTTCCATTGTAGAAGTGAAAAAAAAACAAAAGTTTAAAATGACTTGGCATACGGTAACTATTATTATTTGCAATCTGAAGACATTTATTAATCTTTTAATCTGAATACAATAATACAATATAAATATTATACTATAGCTAAATATTTTATTAAATGCAATACATTATTGTACTTGATTTTCATCCAATATTTTCATTAACCCTTGTTTGATTCTACTATTATTTATCCTTGAAACATAATCTATTTTAAAATAATCCTTGTATTATTATTAATTTATTACAGTTAAAATAATTAAAATAATTTAAAATAAAAAATAATGGCAAATTTTATAAATAATACTAATAATATTAATAAATCATATAATAATTAATATAACTTGTATTTTTTTTTACAAATATATAATTAAAAATTTTTAGCTTTATTATTAAAAAATATTTAATTTCTTTTAATTTTTAAAAAGATAAGATTGTCTAGTTTATCAAATAAAATTTAATTTTTTAAAAGCTATTACAATATTTAAAAACTAATAAACCTAATATTGATCTAATTGCAATAATAATAATAGATATTGATTCTTTAAAATTTTATTAAATCAAAAATTTGATTTTTAATAATCAAAATATTTATATATCAAAAGTTATAATAAGAATATTTAATAAATATAAATAATATTTTAATAAGTTTTAATTAATTTAAATAGTTTTTTTAAATAAAAATTTTTTAAATTAATTTTTGTAACATATTAAATTAAAAAATTTGATAACAAACTTATTATAATAATTAATTATATATATAAATTCAAAAATTAAAACTATAATTTAAACAAAAAATAATTAATTAATAATTAAAAAAACAAAAATATATTATTATTTTATTGATATATTATTTAAATAAATATATACTATATTGAAATTATTTTTAATATTTTTTATTTATTTTATTATTCAAAAACTATTATATAAAAATTAATTAAAATATATTAAAATAAAACTTTAATTTTAAAAATTTTATTTTATACAGTATATATTTATTAATAAATTTTTTCATTATAGATTTATATTATAATAATTAATACTCTGCAGATCAGATTACAAAATACTAGTTCAATTTGATGTGATGACAATTGAATAAAATTAATATAGTATCTAATACTATAACCAGTCAAGTGCTATTTCTTATAAGAAGTCATTTTATATACTAATTCAAATTATGACCTTCTTATTAAAGTATAATGGTATAATAATTGTTTAAATAGTATTACAATAATCATTTAACTAAAAAAGTTTATAGAACTACTCATATATTTGGATATATAGATTGAACTATATTTTATTTTAACCAATTTCAAATTGCTAATTTTTTTTATTATTAATTGTTAAATAAAGAAACTTTAAAGAAAAACATTAAATTGATATTAATATCTTGTATAATATAATTATTCTAATGGCTTATCATGTATATAAAAGTTACATTCTATTTGATATTTATACTATTAGATTTGACAACATAAGTTAATTTGTTTCAAAATTGAAGTATCTATCAGGAAATTAAAAACTTAACTATATATTCTTTAAGGAATTATATTCTATTTAACTATAAGAACCCTTAGATTTAATAGCTAAAAACTAACCAGCAGTCAAAAACTGAAACATTTATTAGAGAATATATTTACATATTAAGACCCTTTTGCTATATTAATTATATAAGTAAAAAGGTGTAATATAACAAGTAATTTAGATAATAGTCAGTAGTATTTCATTATCTTTTCAAAAAATTAAATCAGTAGGTTAGATGGTTTAAAACTAATAATAGAATTTCTATCCCTTAGATAGATCCTTTTGAAAATATATGATATACTTTAAAAATGAATAATATATCATCAAATATAAAAATAGGATAGATTAGTATTTTGTTATAATTTAGTATTATAGATAATATTTGATATAAATCAAGATATCTATATATATCAATAAATAATTAATATCTAATATCTATTTTATTATTAAAAAAAATAAATAAATTTTTTCATTATTATCTTTAATTATTAATTTATAAGTTTAATTTTAATTAATTAAATTTATTATAATAATAAAACATATTTATTATATTAATTACAATCTGTTACAATAAATTTAACAATAAACAATTAATAATATTTGATAAAAAAATATTGTTATATATATTTGTTCATATTATATTAATAAAAAAATTTATATTAAAAGCTTATATTATATTTTTATATAATAGTTAATAAAAATAATAATACAGTATATTTTATATACAGTATATACTATAATATATATTTATTACTATTATTATTATATTATTATTTTTTTTTAAAAAAATTCTTATCTCAATATTAAAATTAAATATTTTAATTTATATTATATTATATATTAATAAAAAATTAAATATCAAAAAAGTTATATTATACTTTTATATAATAACTAGTTATATTGTTTTATATAAACATCAATATTTAAATTAACAACTATTATACTGTATTATTTAAACTATTTTATAAAATAAATAATATATTTTATTAATTATCAAGTTTATATACTAATAATATTATTATATATTTTAAGATAATATATAAACTATAATAATAAATAATATTAAAAAATAGTATATAAATATATATTTATTATACAGTATATAATATAGAGTTTATCAAAATTTAAGTAACTTGGAAAATAATTAGCAATATTTACTGCCCTTGTACAAAAATTAGACTGATAGATTAGATAGTTTAAAACTAATAATAGGATTTCTATCTCCTAGATAGGTTCCTCCAAAAATATGAACCTATTTAAGAATGTCATTAGTATTACTGGAGCAATAAAGTAGGATAGATTAGCATTTAGCTATAGTTTAACATTACAGATAATGTTTGATGTAATTTTAATATTATATATATATCAATAAACAATTAGCATCTAATGCCCATTTTATTATAAAAAAAAAAAATAGAGTTTATTAAAATTTCTAATATAATATACAGGTTTAATCTTATTTTCAATATTAATTAGGAGAATATTATAAACAAGTTAGCATTTAACTTTGTGTATATACTATATATAATTAAAAAATTATTATTTTTTTTCTTTATATATTATCATTATAAAATACAAATAATAAATAGATAATATTTCTCTACTCAAAAAAAAATTATATTATATAGTATATTTAAAAATTTTATTTGTTATAATTTGATATAAAATTCTTATTTTATATTTCTATATTTCAGCAAATTTGTTTAAAAAACAATTTAAAAACTATTAACAAAATCAAATTTTTTATAGCATTAAATCATATTCAAAGATAAATAAATTTAATTTATACTTAAAGCTTAATACTGTATGTATGTTTTATATTTGATCAAATCTTATATTCTGACAAGTTTAAGCTTATATGGTAGAGATTTATATACAGTATATAGTTTAATTTATTGTTAAATTATAACATATACTGTACGTGTATAATAATTTTAAAGTACAAAATAATCAATTGTATAAATGACATTATTGATAATTTTATTTTAAAACATACTGGCATTTACTGAACTTTTCATAATATTACATACTGTCAATATTTGTTGTTATTAAAAGATTATCTTATAACTTGTAGAAATATTTTACAAAGATTTATTTTGTTTACTAACATTTTCGCTTATTAACTTTCCATAATATTTTTAATGCATGATTTACATTAAAAATTGCTTAAAAGAATAGAAAGGAAGAATAACGAAAAAACGGTATTTACGGAAGGAAAAAAAAAAAATAAAATTCAACATGTCATATTTACTTGCTATCGCGCGTAATGTTCTTAAAATATCACAATCATATTATTTTGCATAATTTATTACGTTTACGAATTATCGTATCGAAATAATTACGTTAAATAAGTGTGCCGCCTAATATGGAACGTCGGAATTGCGAGTGGAAAGCGAATGAATAAAAAAAAAAATAAAAATAAAAGAATATGTACAAGATATAAATCGACAGTAATATCGCGTTAGACCTCACCCGTTGGTGGGATATTAAAAACTATTCTGGCACGGACAATCGAGAAATTCATGAAACAAGCATTGAAAAATCACTAAAGAACCGGAGCCCAAAATTCATTTCCTATAGGTTCATATGCGACGGGAATCCAGCCTTCGTCATCTCTATTATTTTCTTCCATATGTATTGTCGGCGTTTTTCTTTCGAAATGTGGGGCTTTCGTTATATTGATTTGTCGTCATGTTGATGTCTTTTACCACGTCTTCGCAATTCACTATGTGAATTTCATTTTGCCTTCTTTGCTTGCACATCTCGATTTCTATTTGAGTTGCAAGATGCCTGTAATAATCCTTAACCACCGAGGGTTCTTTTTTCCATGATTCTGCGATTATCGCCGACAGTGTGGTCATGTGGATTCTGTTGCTTTTTCGACTACGCGATAAGGCATTTACAGAGGTATAATATGTCCTGTATATTAGGAAACAGTTTGGACCTCGCGAATTAATCATGCTAGGATCTCTTAGTCTGGAAACGCGCTTTTTTGCGATTTTTGCAGGATCTATTTCGGGTGGAAAAGGAGGCCTCTTAAATGAGGCTTGCGATTCACATTGATCGTTTGACATTTTATATTTCACGAAATCTCAATCTATAACTTTGGGCTGTAAATTGAGATCCTGAAGAAGGAAAACGGAAACGGCGGTTTAAATAGATGGACTCGTTTCACGAGAAATGAAGTTTTGTTTTCTTTATGCATTGCCACTTATGAAAGGTCAATAGCTATTCATATGGCAAACAAATCAAAGACACTTATTATTATTATTTTTTAGTGCGTTGAATGAAGGCTTGATTATAAATACAGATTTCTTTTAGATATGGTAGTAGGAATATGTGACCAAAAAGTCATTGTAAAATATTGACCAACCGGAATCCATATTCCATCAACTTTGCCTCAAAACGTTTTTGTTTTCCGTTATAAGCTTTATTATGCACTTTTTTTATGCATCATACCATCATACAGTATTATAAGATCGACTGTTTTTTATCGCGATTCCACGTATACAGTATATCACTAATGCATGATTATTTGTAGGATGACAAGAACGCGTGGAGCGAGCGCCGTAAGATGAAAATAAATACCAAGCGAAACACAAAGGAGCAATCCAAAGTTGTAAAAGAAAAGTTTACCTAAAAGGTATTTACATTTTTGGGGCATATAGTGTTATATACTGTATATTGTATATTTAATTACATAATGAAAGTGGAATATTATCGTACGTGAAACCGATCTATATTTACTTTGTTTCCCTGAAAGCTTTTAAACTTTTGCGAATAATATACCTTAGTTGTCATCCGCAGTTATTTTGATGCACCGTGAATGTGCGTAATATTCTATGTCATTATATATTATATGCAGAAGCTTTGATGAATTCTTTATATCGACCACAAGTAAATGAACAAATTTTTTTAATATTTTATGTAATGTGAACGAGCGGAATAACACTCAAAAGCGAAATCAAATTATTATACCTGAAAAAATTTTCTGATTACTCATTTGAATTGTTGTCTCATGTCAGATACCATATCATTGACTACCTTCCATATTATAGAAATTACAGTAAGCATGTGTGATATCTACGA